CACCCCCAAAAAAAAATTCTTTCCGGACAACACTTACAGTTTTCAACTAAAAGCTGTTGGAAATGTTGGTTCATCAACACCATCAAAACACTAAACTAGATCCAAGAACCATAAAATGCATCTTCATTAAATACTCTGACTCAGAAAAGGTATAACTGTATAAGAGTTATCATCCCAATAGCAAAAAAAACATCATCTCCACGAATGTTACCTTTGCTGAAAAAATCAAAAACTCTATGATCAAACTCGTCTTCAATGGAGGCCCTGAAATGAAGATAGCTTTGATTTACCCACACTTGATCTCAAAACGACCCAATTGACCAAAAAAGTCTCAAGTAACTCCGCAAATTTCCAATATATACAAGTAGCCTCCCAAAAAACAATCTCCAACACAATTTATCATAAAGAACAAAACCATTAGGACGAGCAACTTCAATTAAAAAAGATAGACAGTCCAACATTGAACCAAAGCATGTTCAACCACCCATATTTGTGCAAGACAGCCATCAAGCAGTGACAGTAAGATTGCTACCTCTGAAATTCAAACCCACCATGATATCATTATTTTTATCACACTAGGGGAGGAAATATAAATATACACCCAACATCTAACAGCCAATTTTATTTCTTATTCCAATATGTTCTCATTTACAAAATCTTTCTTGCTGTAATAAATACTTTCAATATTCCAAGAACTATCCAAAAGGTACTTTGAGAACAAAGAATTAAAAAATATCATAATTAAAATGAGAGCACTTAAAAGTAACAAAAAATAAAAGATGATGGAATTGCCAAAACGAAAAAAATAAAGAGGATGTAAGTGAGTAAACAATAAGGAATAAATCTAGACTCATGGTAAAATGCTATATGCAAAACTATGGAGTGAATTATGAATAAATTTTAGCACAAGTCACAAAGCTAACACTATCAAAATATTTGTATCATGCGCACCCAACTTCACAAGGTCCTTCGAGTGGTTAGAGGTTAAAAAAAAAAAAAAATCCTTACATGGCAAAATACAAAAGGTCGCCTTTATGGAACCTCCACCAATTTTTAATCAAGATTTCAGTACTGACCAAATACAAAGATAAAAGTAAGCTATATATGAGCTTAAAAAATCTCCAAGAGCATGATTTAGGAGTTTACCAAAACCATGAAAATATGAAATTCAAATACTACCTAACAAAACACATTTCATTCATAAGATAATTCATCGAAGATAAAGTTACAGTTCTCATAATGTATGTGGATAACATGATTGTAATAGTTAATCTCAAGGATATTAAAAAATGAAAGATCAACTATCCAAAGAAATTAAAGATAGGAAATTAAAGATAGAGAACATTTAAATATTTC